CTGGTTTCACCCGGGCCTTGCACGCAACAGGAGACTTTTTGCGTCTCAGTGCCGCTCTCTCTTTTTGAAACAGAGGGCACCACAATGGCACTCCTTGAATGCTAAGGGGTGCAAAGGTGACCTCCCTTCAAGGGGGATGGAATCACCATCGTCAGCAAACCTCTTTCGTTGTCTTTGCCTCCACTGCCCCACAATCGACATGCCTCTCGTCTCTGTCGTGCAATCAGTTGAAAGGGTTGTGCAACGAGATGAGCTTTTTCCATGGCTTGCCAGGCAGAGCAGCAACTGACTCCCCTGGGCAAGGATCAGACTGGCTGACAATAAAGCACCTGAACATCGCTCTTGCCACTCGATGCAGTGGCCCTCTTGGTCACAGCTTGGTGGGTGGGGCGAGGCCCCCTTTGATAGGCTCCGCTGCACTCCGCTCTTGCGCTGACCATGCCGACCGACTTTCGTAGTGAATTCAGGCCCTTAGTTAGTTAACAGTCAGCTTTTGTCGTTTTCACATGTCTCACCCTCGTACAGAGGAAACGCGCTTTGATGAGGGGGAATCGGCCTCTGGCTGTGGTGGTTTTTTGGTTTGTGGTTCTTGTTTTGGTTTGGTGGGGTTTTGCTGTTTTGGGTCGCTTGTGTTCTTTTCCCCCTCATCAAGTAGTGTTTCCTTCCCTTTCAATGATGACCTGGGCACTCCGCCCACACCGCGTCCGCACTCGTGGAAAAAAAAAGTGCACATGCCTTGCATGTGCCTAGCTCATGCCTTGCACACTGAGATGCGTGCTAAGCGGCTCCCCATGAGCTGCTTGTCTGTCCCCTTTGATCCCGTTGGGGTGCTTGTCTTTCCGTGACTCCCGTGGCAAAGCTGTTTTGGAGTCACCGCAGCAAGCTTGTGACGCATCGCTCTCCTCCTCCTCCCCTCGAGGAGGAGTTTCCCCCACTTGTAAGGAGGTCTCAATTTTGAGCCAGCATGAAAGTGGCTACACTGCAGCCTTGCCTGCAACAGCCTGAAGCGTTGTAAGCCACTTGCAGTGGTTTTCCCCTGAGCCACATCCATGCGTCCTCAGGGAACCAAGATGCAAGACTCAACAGCTGCCTGCATGGCATTTCGATGCCCTCCAACATGCTCGTGCAAAGCAAATTCGCCTTGTGTCCTGCTTCAGAGGTATGCTAATTGACAAGCACGTCAAGTCAACACAAGAAAAGAAACAGGATGTCGCATGCTGTCGCAATGAAACACAGTGCTTCATGGTGGCGAAGATACACTGAGTGTCAACCGAATTCATCGCCCCTGTTTCACCTCCTCTCTTTTTGGCTTACATGGCCTTTCGAGTTACTCCCCAGGTTGCAGGTTGCCTTTGGGGGCTTGGTTTTGGTTTTGGGTTTTGTGGTTGTTTTGTTGGTCTTCTGGTTGTTTTCTTTACTGCAACCTGGATTGTAACTCTCTCTTCACTACCACAAAATGACCTGTGCAACCTCTGCACACATGGCGTCTCCACCCGTGCAAAAAAGATTCGCGCTCAACAAGCCATGGCCCATCCTACAGGGCCTCTAACCTCGCCGCCAAATGTTGACAGAAGCATGGGGCGTCATCCCAAACAATGCGTCAATGCGTTCTATTCAATCCCACGTTTGAGACATATCTTAGTAGAATCTGGTCTACACACTGTTGGTGCATCTGCATGGCAGAACTGCCACCAACTCCAGATCGTCAAACTCCTTTTTTTTGCACGGGTGGAGTCGCCATTCATGCAGAAACTGCACAGGTCAGCTTGCGCAATTTTTTCTAGGTAGAGTCTCCAAGGGCCAAGTGGAACCAACCGAACCAAACCAGCGGCCCAAAAACACAACCAACAAAACCAAAAGGCAGCAAAAGAAGAGACTCTAATTTGTACATGCAAATTGTGAAACCTGATAGTGTTTATTTTTTGCACGGGTGGAGACGCCATGTGTGCAGAGAATGCACAGGTCATCTTGCGCTACTTGAAGGTGAATCGTCGGCCAGGATAGGAGAGAATACAGAACAAACCACAAACAACAAAACACAACCACAACAAACCAGGCAACAAAAACTGGCCATGTCGCGACTCATCGGGTCATGCAAGGGTGAAACAAGACGAGAAAGGTGAAACAAAGGGGTGTCAAATTAAGCAAAATGGCCTCTCAGTCCACTTTGCGCATGTCTCGAAATTCAAAAGGCCAGGCATCAAATTTGCGAAGGGCCGTAATGCCTTTGCAGTTCCCTTAGCACCCGGCACTGTGCCTGGTTTTCCAGGCTCCATCTTCGTGTATGCGTAGTTGCTGGAGAGGCTTGGACAACCGAAGTGCAGGATCATCGCTTGCGCGTGCGGATGACAGGCAGGTATGCATCGGAAAACCACTGCGGAGAGGAGCCAAGTTGTTCCAAACAAGGAGGCTCCTAGCTTCCATGAGTGCTGCCTGCTGAGGAAGGTGTTTGCACACTGGTTGTACATTGTTTGCAGCTTACTGAACTGTCGAACTGCCAAGGACCACTCGATCTTCGCAATGCGAGCGAGCAGGATGCATGGTGCAGCTCCCCTCCCCCCAAGGGCAACAAAGCGACCTTGCGGCGGTGCGCCTCAAAACAACTTTGCCAAGAGACGGGCACGAAAAAAACATGCACAGCCCCCGTTCTACCGTGAAACAGAGTGAGACTTCGCCGAACTACACCGAAAAAGCTGTACACTATGTACTCATCCAGGACAGGCACTGAGGTACCCGCCTGGGAACTGGCTAGTTAGTGTACCTTTTGTACAAGTCGAAAGCTGTAATGGTGATTGCTTTGTTGATTCTCAGAAGCAAGGTTTCCGTTCGTCATCAAAGACATCCGAGTCTTCTCCGTCAGAAGGGAGTATGTGAATCCACTTAGGACGCTTAAAATTGGCGCACAAGGCAAAGGTATTGCTTTCTGCATAAGGCCCTCGCCACGTGGTTGGTTTACTCATCTTTCTGAATTGAGTGAGTTGTCCACAGTCGAAAAAGGCCCTATGCGCTATGTACTGCAGTGCCGGCGGAGTATGCACTTCTCGAAGGGAATTGCAGAACATGAAAGCTTCTTTACCAATGCGCCTCAACTTGGGCGGAAACCAAATATGTGCCAGGTTCACACAGTGTGAAAAGGTAGATCCCCGTATGGCACTGATCTCAGTACTGGACAGATCAACGAAAATGAGCTGTTTGCAGTTTTCACAGGCTATCGGTCCTAGGAAGTTGATGTCTGACGGGAGTTTCAAATGCTCGATGCCAGACCCACAGAGGCTTCCTTCAGGTTTCCGCGGGTTAAAGATGAGGCTGATGCGTCGCTTGTGTTGCTGACAAAGTGAACTTGCGACAGAGCCAAGCAGATTTTCAAAGGCGTAGCGAGAGATCTGGGCTCCTGGAGCAAGTTCATTTGTTACTCCTTCATTTACCGTAGCATCTTCACCTCCCATCGGTGATTTTTCCATGTGCAGCATGCCTCCGAGGAAACCTTGCACGGGTGGTGCAACAATTTCACAGAATGCTTGCCCGGTTGTCTGCACTCCAATTTGTTCAGGTCCATGTCGTGAGACAATGGCGCAAAACGTTCAGATGCCGAAGAGCATCTCTAAGCATTTCGCCATAATTCATTGCCCAGTCTCACCATGTTTCACCTTTGCATGAACACCTGAGAGTCTCGTCGCGTGTTGTTTGGTGCTTGTTTTCGGGTGTTTGTTCGTTTGTTTTTCTGTTCTGTGTTTGGTTTCGTGGTTTTGTTTTGGTTCTTCTGCCTCCTGTTTTCCTTTTTCGATGAGACTCTCTACAAAAATAACACAAGCTGACCTTTGCATTTTCTGCATGTACGGCGGCTCGACTCGTGCAAAAAAGAAGCGCCCTGTTGAAGAAGCGCCGGAACCACAATGTTGGGTTGCATTTCGTGGGTTTGTGTTGGTTTTTGTGTTTCTTGGAAGTTACTCACCAATTGAAAGCTTGTAAACGCAAACGGGGTGTCGGCACCGCGCATTGCGGAGGGACCCGAGCGGCAGAGCAGTGCCAAGGCGGCACCGCGCATTGTAGTGAAGGGCTCGAGCCGCATTGAAGTGGTACAGACGCCCAGCAATGACGGAAGGGTTGGACGAGCAAGATTGATGTTTCACCCCAAACAATTTGCCAGGAAGAAGCTTACCTTGGGATGCACCAATGACAAGGCCGGACAGAAGTGAATATGGTGAAGCTGCATCAAAAATCAGACAACGACATGTACAATCTGGTTTGGATGAAGAAAAATCCTGAATACTGGCCAGAGTTACACACTTTGACAGTGAAGCAGAATCGGATGGGAGCAACGAAGCAAATCATTGATTTCAATTTAATGTGGAATGCGTGTCTTTTGTTGGAGTGTTCTGTGAAACCAGCTGAACCACAGACACTATGGTGGTGTGTGCCGTGAAACCGTCTGAGCCGCGGTACAATACGACAATGTGCTACAATGATAGAATCTATTTTGCATTGATGGCAAGGCCATTTTGGGAGCAGCGTTGGTACGTGAAACCATCTGAAACACGTATCAAAGCAACAGAATTGGTGAGTGAGTGTCATAGAAATAGCATTTAGTGCCGGAACGGGATGTATCAAAGATACATGAATAGTGAAAGCATGTACATGCGAGAGACCGGTGTCAGTGCTACTTAGATGATGGTGGATCTCGCAAAATTGAGAAATGTACGTTGGAAAATGGTGTGATGGACCAACTTACTTCGTTGGCCATCAAGGCTGGGTGTTAACTTTTTTCACCTAGATGGATGTCTAGATGTGTATAGCATAGTTGACACACTGTTTGCTAGTTGAAAACTACTCCGCTACCGAAGCGCGTGGATCAAAACAAACGTGCTACCAAACATCAAGTCAAATGCTGTTGAAACAAAGAAACTGTAAATAGTGATTTGGGCCCCGACATTGCGCATAAGGCAAACCTAGCTCTTTCAACAATTTCTTTCAACAATTTTCTGCATTGCTCACTGCCAATTTGGTTTCTTACCAATAGCCTTTTCTTTTCATGGCGACCTTTGCTTTGCGCCTATGCCCTTTGCTTCCACTTCTGACCACGGCCTTCACCAAGCCCCTCACAGCCATCCGACGCTGTTACATTCCACCGCCACGGGCCAATTTCGGGTGTGCCCTCTTGGAGAACCTCACGGGACGTGATGAGTTTGGATTCAACTCCTACGGTCAGGAGACCACTGCCCATCGGCGCTGCTTGCAGTCTTTGCGGAAGGCACCTCGTCAGGCATCAAGTGTCATTGGTGGTATTTGCTGCTGTTGCTGCTGTGCTGCTGCTGCTGTTGTTGTTGTTGCTGCTGTTGTCGTCACCGTCGCCGTTGTTGAGGTACTGGTTGTGTTTGTGTTTGGTGCGCACTTTCTTCCAGAGCTCTGCATTGGGCCCCATCTGAGGCGGGCGGCAACACCTTCGTGTTCTCCGTGGGTTTCTGTGAACTTTGGACTTGCTCCAAAGAAGCGTTGACCGCTGCAGCGTCGTCCGAGAAGATGGAGGTCGGAACTCGCAAAGTCTTCAGTGAGCTGTGCGAGTACCAGGAATCGCTGAAGACGTCTCGCAGTCCGGTCTTTGTGAAGCTTTGGGAATGGAATTATGTGGACATTGCCAAGGAACCTTGTTTAAGCAAACTGTTTTTCTAAGTTCCCAAAGGCATTTCCCAGGACCCTTCCGACATCGGAATCTCCTGTTGTCCTTCAGACCGACGTGGTCTTGTTGTGCCAAAAGCGCTGGGGGTGGCGTCGCTGAGGAATGTGAAGAATATCTGGGCCCCAATGGCTTTGATGCTGTGCAAGTCTCGCCGGTCACGGAACATATTCTGGGGCCTGAATGGTGGACCAAATATCAACCAGTCGGGTGCCGAGATGTTTCATCTTGCTTCATCTTGCAATCGTGTTTCCAGCGTCAAACCTGCTAAAAAAAGGAACAGTTCCTGTCTATAATGTTAACAACATTCCTGCCAGACATGGATGGTAAAACCTTTTCAGGCCTCAAGGCTATGACCGCCTGAGGTCTCCTTTTCCTTGAGCTCCCGGTCCGGCTCGGCTGAAGACTTCCGCACGATGGTCCGAGACTGCCGTGCCGCCGGTGTGGAGGTTGGGGTGGACCTGGGGAGGAGAGGAGAGAGGCAACTCACCATGTATTGAACATACACCAAGGAACGTGTATCAAAAGTGTGTAAAATCTCCTCAATACTTCCTTTCCTTGCTTTAATTGGAGGGAAGAGAACCAAATCCAGCAATGGAGACACCAACACAGAAGCTGAGTAGTCAAAGCAACGTTTTGATGTGGCCATACGTCATTTGTTTTGACGTTTGCACCAGGTGATTGTCGATCTCATCATCAATCATATCGCCGCTCCCTGCCGAGCGGCCAAGAATGCGGAGGTCAAGAATTTGACCCCATGCGTGGGTTGGAATGGTAGCCTCTTTGGAAACCGCCGATTGGGAGGTGCCAGGGGCTGGGACCAAGCAGGCCCGGAACACTTTCATCATGTGGAGGGTCAGATGATGGAAAACTGCTATGTGGGACCTCCAGGCTGGAGTTGTGGCGGTGGAGGCATTGATGTCACTGATTGCAGCTGCTGCTCCTGTGACTTCCTGAAGATGCCCGATTGGCATACGGGTTTGGATGAAGTCCGCCAGATGCATACACGTCATGTACAAGAGCTGCATGACATTGGCGTCACGATGCTGCGGGTGGATCTGTCTTTGTTCGAGTCCATTGAGGATCTGAGCCACGTCCTGAATACTGTGCCATGGGACTTTGTGTACCAAGTCCCTGGGACGCAATTTTAAGGATATATATATATATACATATAGACACAGTGTATATGTATGTATGTTCTTTCCAGCTCATTGTTCTAACATAGAGCTGGTATTGAAAGGGTTCATTGTCCAGGTCTATATTTGCTGTTCAACAGTAGTCTGGTTTGTTTCGTTCGGTGTCACGACATTCCCGGATCCCAACCCTCTGTCCCCAGGATCGGTGGCCGAAAAGTCTCCGGTCGGCAACCATGACCATCACCTGTAAAAGCTTGATTGGCCTTTTTCCCTCCTTTTTCCCCTTCCCCAGCAACCAAACACCGGCGGTGGAAACCCAAACACCGTGTGGTGTTACACGGTGGGCCGCAGCGAAGCGCTGCACGGACCGTGAGGAGTGGTGGTGGGAACGTCCAGATGCCCAGCGGCATCGTTACATTGGCCACTTTCGGGACATCACCTACAGGTGCTCGCAGGGTGAGGTTTCAGTTGGGAGGGTGTGAGTGTAACACACTCAGCTGATGAACAGGTGAAAACGGCCCCAAAACGTAGGAAGAAGTCGCATCATGTAGTCACACAAATAATTATTCCAATGTTTCCAGTGGCTGCCTGCCATTGGAGATGTTAAATGTAGTATTTGCATTGCTACACCATGAGTTGCCACCTTGGGTTTGGGACTTTGGCTTGAGGATCAGGACCTGTCCAGTTCACAGTTTCTGGCAAACTGGATGCTGTGCTCCAGGTACAAGCTCACCCACTACTTGGGCAACTCGAGCCTTGCGAAGCTGCCGGATCTCTTCACCCTGGAGCGCGGCCACGATGAGATTGCCCCGGAGACGGCCATTTATCCCATCGCCTTCCATGATGGACGCTCCTGGAAGGCCAAACCCGGGAACGCCACCTACAAGCGCCTGGGCTTGTGCAGGGATTAGAAGGAGGAGTCAGGGAGATTGGGTCTAAGAGGATGCTCCAACCTAGCGATGGCCTCCAACCTAGAAGCAATGGCCTCCAACCTAATAGTGATGGCCTCCACCCTAGTCGCTATGGCCTCGAGGAGAGGTGAGGAGAGAGAGAGAGAGAGAGGGAGGGAGGGAGGGAGGGAGAGAGAGAGAGAGAGTGAGAGAGAGTGAGTTAAATGCAGGTATTGAGAGGAGTTGCCCAAGTGTGGGACCTGTCTGAAAAAGAAAAAAGACACGTTGCCTGAATGGTTGGGGTCTCCCTAGCCTGTATGCACACCTGTGACCAGTAAAACATGGTGTACGTGATTTTTTCTTTGACGGGGCCTAAGGAAGATGGGAAGAAGAGAGTTGCAGAGCCAAGAAGAGATGATAACTTTTAAATCTGCTTGCAAAGCCTGCTGGATTAGCTCATCAGTCAGTCAAGATAGGAATTTCCTTTTCTTCAGGGTGGAGGTTGTGATGTTTCGTACAAGTCAGCTTATAATTCCTGGTGAATTGATTTGTTTTTGCTGGGCAAAGGCCTGTTCTCGCCATGACTCAGGAATGGCTTGGAGTATCATCAGCAGCAAAAGTTTCTTTTGGCTTGGCCAAAAGGAAACATTGTGATGTCTCAGAGCTGCAATCAGTGAGACGTTGAGATCGGGGGGGTTTGGCCGACGAAGATCTGAGGATGAGACAGGTCTTCGCCATGGAAACACAGACTGAGGTGCAGAAGGGTTGTTCAAAGACAAGTGCTCACTTTGACTTGATGGCCAAGACCAGATCTTGCCTTTCAAGACTGTTCCTCTACCAGGTACCAAGACCCGGCAAGTCCCTTTTTGCGTTTCACAGGGCAACCTTGCTCGCACCACGAAACACCTGGAGGGCATGGCCACTCTGTTCCAGGGGCCGAGGACCCGGTAAAAGCAAGCAATTATGGTGTAACATGGGCTGTTCAGCTATGAAGCAACCAGCAGTAGGGGCTTTCTACTCTGTGTTTGGATCAGCTCAACTCTCTGAGGCTCTGGGGCGGCTTTGGTTGGTCCAGGATGAGCGATGGGCCGCCAGGGTGTGATGACCGCACGGGCAGTCCCTATTGTCAGCCGGAGTCCGTCTATGTCAACGGCCGGGCGCCTTGCTGAACTGACGACGAAGGGAAGACCAGCGGCGGTTTCATGAGAACAGACGACGAAGGGTTTGTCATTCACAGCGTGGTTGTATGACTTCCTTGGATGGGAAGCATGTTGCGAAGGAAGCTCGACGACGAACGTTTTGTTTGAAGAGGGGATCGGGTATCTTTGTTGATGGACAGGGTCGCCATGAAACATATTGGTGTGACACGTTGGTTCCAGGTTGTGCAGATCACATGAAAAGTAGAGGAATAGTCAAGAACGGGGTATTCCGGCATGGGTGATTCTTTTGCAGGAATCTTATAATTTCAGCAACTTTTGGCCGCCATGGATTGTGTGGTTTGTGTCCCATCCATGCCACGGCGAAGACAAGGTCTATGGAAGTCTGCCCCTTGATGTGTATCAAAAAGGCAACCTATCAGGTCTTGCCATTGCTGAACGAGATGGTCCTTTTAATGGGTCTCTTTCTATATCCTTTGATCCACGATGACACCTTTTTATTCCATGGTGTTGTTTTTGGTCTTCAAATCAAGTGGGCTGCGAAACATTTATATATTGTTTGGTGGTTCAACTGATTGAACACAAACTTTCAAAGGTCCTGTTTAGAGCACAAATGGAAAAGTGTCAGATCTCAAACTGGATTCCATCAACTTGTGTCGATCGATCTTGGGATCTCACTCGATTGAGGCGCGCTGCCTGCCAACTCCCACAGAGTCACCTTTGCCGAAGGAGCTACACATGGAGCGCAGATGGATCTGTGAGCATCGCTGGCAGGGGGTGGCTGGCCTCATTGCCTGGGGCCCCAGAACAGTACAGGGGACCTTGAAGGTGAGGTGGGAGAGGTGTGAAAGGTGTGAAGGGAGTGCTGGGCAGTGCTGGGTGTTTTAAGGATCAGACATGCAACAGTTTTGAACAAGACTACTGCAGATTAGATTGATGCTTAAATTGGCTGATGATGATGAGGATGATGATGTTGTTCTTGTTGTTGGAGCTGTTTTTTCCATGATTTCCTAATCCTGGAGGAGGTCAGCCAAGAGGCGAGCGGCGAGCCATCCGCTTTTTTCTGACCCTTTCTTTGCTACACCTGAAGCAAGGCAGCCTAACAGGCTAACCTTCAGCTGTTCCTCCCAGATTCTGCTCCTCTTCACCCCGGCTGAGGAGTTTCGCAAGGCTTGCCGTGGCTTGCCCATCACCCGAACCTGGCAGGCGCCCTTGGGGCCTGGTGGAAAGACGGGGCGAAGCAGAGCGGAGAGCAGAGCGGAGAGCAGATGACTTGAAGAAGAGACTCCCTGTCTCCTTTTAGTCGTTCTTTTTGAGTGGTGTCGTGAAAGACTTGCAGTGGAGGTGGTAGACGAATGCTTCATGATACCCAAACTTGTTTTGGAATTAACTTCCCCAACAGAACTTTTCGATAGCAACGGATCGCAAGGGGTTCTGTTCTAGCTGGGTAAAGCCAGAATGACAGCGAAGCGTTTTGAGTGCGCTCTCTTTCTACAAAGACATATCACCGTAGAGATTGTGATTATATATACCAAGTGAATCAGGCTTGGATGAATAAATCCTGAGAACAAACAAAAAGCATTGACCAAGTGTTAAGGCTGTGACAAGTCTTCTCTTTCCAGGGTGTGGCTTGTCTTGGAGAGCCTTCAAGAAGGATGAAGATGTAAGAGGATCTTTGCGAAGGGAAGGTCCACCCTTAGATCCTCCTTGGAAAGACATCCCTGCCGTGTTCAACGGGTCCTCCGAGACATGAAGCTGATTGGCCAGTCTTAGACCTCTCAAAACCAGTTTTTCCTTAAATTTCTTTCCCACCTGATCGAAGCTCTCTACTTCCTCATGTTCTTTTCATATACTTCTTTCATTTCTCCACCTCTTCAACAAACGAACCTGCCTCAGTTTGGAATCCCATGCTGTCGCATTGCCTTTCGAGGGAATCCCATATGCCATGAAGTGCCATGTGACACTTCTGGGTCAGCTGTGCCCAGTCTGGCCAATGGCCACGTCCCGTTTCGCGCGCACGCCGGCGCGCTCCGTCTCGGCACCCGTCGAGTCCGGAGGCACCGGAGCTGAGCGACGGGCAACTGGCCTTTCGAGCTGGGGAGGAGTTGGGATCTGGGCAGGGCGGGAGTCGGGAGCTTCAAGTTGGGAAGGAGCCCCAGCCTGGGGTCTGTGACCCAGGCTGAACGCGTTCGGTAGCGAAGTTTGACTGATGCTTTGGCAAAACGGGGGACTGGAAGGTTGAAAAGGCCGTGGAAAATCGCCCGTGGCTGCCCGTGAAAACAGGGTGAAAGGCCGTTTCACAACCTATCAAAATTCGGTCTTGGAAGTTGGGAGGTGAAATGCGTCCTTCACCCTAACACACCTGCTTGACTTGTCCTTTCGACTTGCTGGGATGAGGGGAACTGAAGGTTTTACACATGCTTTTCAATGGTCAGGTCGGGTCAAGAGGCAAAACAATCCCACAAATGGCCACAGTCCGAGGCCAAAAAAAAGGTGGTTTCGCTACGTAAGCTTCTCTCCAAACAAACATGGTCGTCGTACTAGGAAACACCGAATCTTGGACGGTCCAGTTCTGATTGAGGAAGACTCAGGGCCTAAGGTTGGCGAAGCGGATTCCATGGGGCTGTGGCTAAACAGAACATCGAAACTCCCCTGCTTAAAGACACGAAAAGACCAGGACCTCAGGCCCTGTGATTTGCTGTTCGTTTTTGGAGCCCAAAGACCATGGCATTCCGTCTCTCCATTCTTCCACGCCCTGGCAGGAGTGTTTTGGAGCACTGGTGCGGGGCTACAATGAGAAGTTGCGATCGCCTTGGGGGCACCTGGGTCCCTTGCCGTTGAAGACCGGAAGAGACCAGACAAGCCACGGGTTGCTCTGTTCCCAAACATTGTAGATCCGTGAGCATTTGTCTGGCAAGTCCTTGTGTTCCTATGGATTTCCTCCAGTCAGATCTTGACTCTCCAGATCCTGAAATTCCAGATCTTCAATCTTGAATTCTGATTTTTATTTGTCCCATCACTTTGCCCCCTCTCAATTTCAGGATCCTTCGCCACTCTGATCACTTCTCCGTAGCCAGCGCGTGTCGTGCGTAAACAAGGGCCCGTGGATTTCAGGGTGGAGAACAGGGTTCTCGTATCTAACCCTCCGACTCACGTTCCATGGAAGTGAATGGCATGGACACTTTGATGACGGTTTTCCGTTGCAAACAGGGTGGTGTCTGTGGAACCATCTGAGTGAGTCGGAGTGTACATCGTGAAGATAGCTTTGCTCTTGAAAGAGCTTGAAAGATGGACGTCGCATAAGGGCCATGATCTTCTTGATATCAAAAGGGCATGAAAGTGAGGACTTTCATCTATAGATCCCCACATTCAGCGTGAGCAGCGCTCGCGTCACGGAATCCGTCATTGTCTCACTTGTCTTGGTGTTTTGAGGCAACTGGAAGCTGCGAGGCTTGGAAGTGGGCTTGCCCAGTGGCCGTTATTGTGACTCGTCCTGGTCTGCACCGCGAATCGCCCTGTGCCCGAGCGCTGGGATCTAGGGGTGTTGGTCTCAGGGCCACGCGAGCGCAGGAGGCCGGTGGGGTGTCACAGGACCGAGCTTGTCCATCAGGATGTAAGGGAGCTTCAAGAGCATTTGTGCCACTGGCCTAGCAGGCATTTCAACATGAGACCTGTGGGATCCTGTGGGACTCACTTCCGCCAGGAAGCAAGGGTTGTTGGGGATGGTGCGGTCGCCCCATCCAGCTGCCAGACCCTGGACTCGGTTGGGGGAGTGGCTCAGACCCACCCTGCCCGCCCGCCCCAGTCTTGCTTGAGGCGACATGGGGTCCCTGTCCACGCGCCGTGAATGGGATCGAAGGCATTGCCCGCGGCAGGTGGTCATTGGCACGGATGGCAGGAGTGGATGGGGATGGGGATGGGAGTGATAGATGGGCCAAGAGCGAAGGATCCTTGCTGAAAAGAAGGTACCTTTTCAATTCATGTTGGGGTTCCTCTGATTGAACCTTGGCCTAGGCGACATGAGAGCTGTGAATATGACCAGTCAACACACTGCGAGATATATACCCTACTATGTTTTAGAGGGGTATGGAGCCAATTGCAAAATCACTGAGTCAGTCATAGCCTCTCATATGCTGGCTATGCTTCCGGTGACGCTTTTGTGTCTCTGGAATCAGGTGACCGTGACCAAGCGGCTGCCATGACTCAGCAACATTACACAAAGCTGCCATTCCACAAGTGGGTGAAAAAACATTGAACTTTTGCCTTTTTGCAAAAGTTCCAGATCACTTGGTGCTTTTGCAAAAACAAACATAGCTGCGACGCTTTCGCCTGATGAATCCGTGTGCTTTTTCATCACTCGACTCTTTCATGCCGTGCTTTTCGCGTTGAGGATCTTGAGTGGATTTGTCCGGGAGGGCGACCTCCTGGCGATCTACGTGGGAGGACGTCTCTCATGACGTCAGGGAGGGCGACCGTTCGAACGAACCGAGAGGCGAGCGGGGTGTGTTTTTGAGCGCTCGAAAGACTGAGCTCACCCTGCAAGTGGCAGAGGGATCTTTCCTTTGTCATCCAGCCATCTTCCCCTAGATTGGTGGTTTGGATCAGAGTTGTTTGGGGACTTTTGGCCTGTCACGTGAGCTTCCCATCGCCATGGTGAACTTCTTCGTTGGATCGAACGGTCCTGGTGCTTTGGCCATGAAGACTCCACTCCTTTCCGAAGTGCCTGGCGCATCTCTTGGTGCCCTGGGAAGTCCATGTGGGTCCAAACCGCGGGACCCTGGTTGACCCCAAGTCAACTGAACCGATCCCTTTATGAGGGATGTCAACCCAAACCCATGGTTTGGTGGAGCAGCTTGGGTTCCTCTCATGTCACCGAAAACACCATGTCAGCCCCTCTTCCACAGGGTCGCAGGTGGAGCTTGTCAAAGGTCTTCTTTTGGTCCCAAGGGTTTGACCTACTGCTCATTTCGGAGATCCCCCCCCAAAAAAATGACGTATCAGATTGACGGACACTTCAAGGCCAAGCAAACTTCAAGTTCCTGCAGATCAACTGGCTGGAGGAAAACAGCAAAGCCTCAATGGGTTTTCGCAGATCAACCGAAATGGGGCCTAGGAGCAGCTCCTCCCTTGTTATTTCAATCATCAGTTTCAATCAACCTGAGAACCACCAATCTTGAGGGCTGGCTGGGAACGTGACCCATCTAGGGGTTTTGAACGTCCTCCTTTCGGTTCCGCGCATCCGCCGAAGAAATGCTGGTGCCGGACTGTGCCGTGGCCTGTCTGAGGTTCCCAGTCCACACCAGACATCTGGGTAAAGATCGGCACAGAGCATCCTGTAGAACTCGTTGATCGCCCCCAACAACAAAGAACCTGGCATGGTTTGAGGAAACCCTAGGCTCTAGGGTTTAATTGTCTTACTCACGTCCAGTTGGAGAATCTGAAGCCACTAGATCTTGAGATCAAAGACCAGTGATAGGCGACATGGGGATCCTTAGCCTTAGACATGCCGACACGGCCTGTCCCTTTGAAAGGGCCCTCGGAGCACTGTCTGACCCAACGAAAGGGGGCAGCGTTCAGTTTTCAGTCAGATTTTCATGATATCCTTCTTGCTGTTCGCGGAGTTTGCACCATTTGAATTCTGCACGCCTCGCAGTGGTTCCGAAGCACTTGGCCTCACAGGGCCATTGCTGATAGCTCGCTGTTGGTTGCTTTCCGTGCTCAGCACACTTCAACCTACAATAGCGTGGCTTTCAGCCACTCAATGTATGGGCACCACTTTCGGGTCCAGTGACACTGGTGCTTTCCAACCTCGGTGAACAAACCTCATTCGAGTGAGTGACTAGGACCCGATGGTGGGCCTTCAGTGGCTGGAGGCCACTCTGTTCAAAGAATTGGGTGAAGAAGATAGCTGACGCACGAGGTCCCCGCTGCCTTTTCGCGCGTTTTTGCCTCCCCGACCCTCGGCTCGAGGGTGGGGCGGGGGAAAGACTCGTCGCAGCGAGGAAAGCACGGCTGCCAAGGCGACAGGTGGTAGGAACACCCAGTAGATAGCACAGACCGCCCCGTTTCACGAAGCATGTTGGGCTCGGTCGCACGTCCATGTGAGGGAATCCAGGGGTTTTTGAGCGTTTGGTCCGAAGAGTTCTCGACTTTTGAAGAAATTGCATGTATTTTCCCCCCAGAGATCCAGATGGGCTTCTGTGCTCCTTCTTGTCTTTCTGAAGTCTCGAAAAGGGGATGAACACCTCGCCAAGTGGAGGGTCCTGCAGGGATGAGAAGAAGCGGATCTCTAACCATCCCTTAGTTGGTGTACACTCTTTGCCTGCAAGTTGTCAATGAAGCAAAACAGCTTTTCAATCTTGCTGGGTGTGCATGTTTGCAGCCATAAGAGGCGTGTGCTTGACAAGATTGATGCAGAAAGGAAAAGAAAACACATCAGAAGGCTGGCAGTCTGAGACGGTCTAAAGAATCCAAAGACATTTGCAGCATGGCTGGGCTTCTCATGGCTTCTCATATGGAGTTGCGCCCAGGTCGAAGCAGGTCAGAGCAAGTTGTGCACAGACTGCAATTCGACAGTCAGAAGATTGGCAAGTGCTTCCACGTCACTTTTTCCTGTTTTGGGAACCGTATCAGTTCCTGTTTGAGCTGGCGATCCTGAAGACCGGGGTCTGGGGTTCATGGCCATGGTGCCGTCATGAGTGCCGGCATTTTCCACCTGCTTCTTGGCAATCAGAGGTCCGATGCGTGAATGTTGCCGGCTCTGCAGCTCCTGGAAGATTTGTTGCTTCAGAGGGGCGTTTCATTCGTTGAAACCGGCCGCTCAAGACAGGTAGTGTCATGGGTTCCTGTCGGGGGATGGCTGGGTCCCAGCCCCTTTCAATTTTCATACGCATACTGTACTATATATGCATATACCATACATATACATATATTACATATACATACATGTATACAGCATAGATTAATATAGCCACCTTCAAGCCAAACCCAGTGAGGCTGTGGCTAGCTTGTACGCTGGCCGCGCAGGCACGTGTGCTGCGGTTTTGATCGCTGGAAGAGCTTTCGGCAGCTACCAAGCTATGTTTCAGTGCTATGCGACTGACAGATCTCTGGCATCTACTTTGCCATTCTCGGCTCTTGAAGGAAGAACTCCCACGTCACTTGTGCTCCACCTCTGACAGTTCTTTTGCCACAGGATTTCTATGAATCTGTCTCTTTCTCCTTCCCTTCAAAGCCTGGCCCGAAGACCCGCCTCTGTTTGGAGTGACGTTTCCGGCATTTTCCTGTTTTGGATCGCCGGAAAATTGGAGTTGGTGTAGCTGCTGTAGGCTTTTTGGAGCAACGTCTAGAGTTGTGGCAGTTCTGAACGAAAACCACGCGGCGACTTCCGAATTCCGAATATAATTAATTTTTTTGATCTTTTTGGAGCAACGTTGCAACGCCCAAACTGACCCGAACTGAGACCGATCGTGTTCGGGCCAAAAAAGCACGACCCGGACGGTTGAAAAGCTAAGAGACACGTCCATGGTCAAGGCCCCAACAACATTTTTTGATAGATTTTTCCTTTAAGCTTTGTAGGTGTAGGCTTCCCATCTCCGTGATGGGTCTTTTCCATGCGTCTCGATGGCAAGCGTCTTCCAGCGCCTTAGTGCGTCTCGCAGCGACCTGTGCAGGCGACCTGGATCAAGGCCGTGGTGAACCCACTCAGTGACCCACCTCCCTCGAATCGCTACGAGCACTCGGCGGTGATCTTCAACGACACCGTGCTGGTCTTTGGAGGTGCTTTGAGAGTTCTGAGTTGGACATATCTTTTTAGTTTGACTGGTGGCTTTAAAGATGAGAACTTACCCAACTGGTGGGGCACACCGAGGTGAACATAAATCACTTATTTCCCACAATTTCGTTTAGTAAAGGCCCCTCCCTTTTTAAGCACATTTAAGTTCAGCGTTCACCAGAAGCCTGGTTTGTGGTTTCTTATCGTTCGTGCAAGACACACCATGCCATGTAGCCCTCGCCCCACTGTGGCCCGCTCTGTTCGTGACGAAGGTTACTACATCACGCCTGGCGACGCGGCTTCGGAAGTGGTGACTGTGGACATGCTCCAAAACAAATGGAACATGTACTCCAAAGACGAAAGAGTGGGTATCAACCTATCGACATCCTTTCTAGCATAAGCCAGAATCCAAGCTGTTTCTGTAGCTACGGAATCGGCGGAACTACAGGCTTTTCCGCCCACAATTCTCGAGCGTCTTCCGTGCCCAAATTTGAGCATTTGATTTGGTGGAATGGCCAATTGTTCCAGATTGAAAAGAGTAGAGCCCTAGTGACCCTAGTGATGGATGGGTTTGGAATGCACGGGCAGGGCATGCCTTGCCTGAAAGCCACCACCATCCGCCCGTTGGACGAGGAATCGGATTAATTTTGGAGACATTTCTTTGAAGAAAGAAACACCTGCAGAGAGCAGTCGGTTCCTGCCTGAATTTGCAGGGTGTTCATTTGTAGGATTTGCGGGGTGTTCTCTTAATTGGGTTCATCGGTTCATCTCAGATGGTGCAGGATATTCATTCCATCAAGAACAGGGATGCCCTTTGAATCTTTCTTTCTTGATCCATGAATCTGGGAATGCATGAATGACGATGAACGCATCTACCACCCGAACCTGTGGAATTTTGAAAACAAAGGACACGTCTGGAGTGAGACATCCGTGTCTTGAGTGTTGCGTGGCCAGCTCCGAGTGGTGGAATTTCTGTGCTCTGAGGTTCTCGCTTCGATGACTTGTACTTTTGGGATACGCAGGCCTTGAACCGAGAACCTGCGCATGCGGTGTCATCGAGACTGAGGTGTCAATGCGCCGTTCAGCCAGACGGTCGGGTCGGTGGATTTGGGACATCCTTTTGTTGTGGTTCGTGGAAGGGTAATTCTCCCTGGAACTAACATGGAAGTGGAAAACCACCTGTTTGTAGTGGATTTCATGGTCTTCCTTACGGGGCCAGGCCATCCACGTAACCATGTGAATTCCAGGGAATGTAGTTCTCTTGTAAAACATGGTGGACCAGCCAGGGTGTTGACTTTGGGAGTCAGGCATGAGAGCTGGCTCGTCACGGACTTTTTGGTGGAGTTGAACCACCGATTTGGGATCTCCAGTCGTCATGATGAGACGATCACAACGCCTGACTCTTTAGGCAACTGGTCCTGCTTCTTCTTTCAAAAGAAAGAATGGTCACTCAAGTTTTCGGACTTCCATCCATATATCCTTGATTAGCCTCCGACTTGATTGCAACCTCTTGACTTGATTGTGGATTCCACCTCGCCAGATCCACTTGAAAAAAGACGCAGGCCACCACATTCTCCTCTCATTCTGTGACCATCTTTGAGATCCACTTCGCCCCTTACCGCAAGGTCCAAATGTGGGGCCTGGTGCCAGCCCCGAACGCGCCGCCCGCGCGATCGTTGCACACGGCGGTCATGGACTTGAACCACAGCGCCTTGAATGCAGTTGGGGTGGTGGGTGGTACACTGGTTTCACAGGTTTGATGGCGCTGGCACCCCCAGATGTCTTTTAGGTAAGATCCATGTAGGACTTGGTTGGACTTGTGAGTTGGGCCACTTGGATTGGATTGAGTTGCTTTTT